GTGTCAACTAGGGCGAGGCTGAGGATTAAGAAGAAGCACCCATGAACCAAGGACAAATACAGAAAAAGAGAGACCAGAAGGGAACAGCAGACTCCAGAAAGTTAAAAACATCATGGTAGAAATTAAAAAAAAATAGATGGCTAAAAGCTCAAGTCAAGACACTCGCTTCTAAAGTAGGACCAAAGGATAAAGAGATAAAAATAAAAGAAGAGTGAAAAAAACTAGAGGCCTGTCCATGCAGGCCAACATCCATCCAACTGACTTCTAGGGAGAAGAGAGAAAATGGGAGGCAGAAAATTAAAAAATGATACATTCAAGTTTCCCAAATTTTGGGCACAAGTTTCCAGACACAAGGCACCCTAGCTGCCTGGCCAAGGACAGAGACTGGATATCACAGAACTGCAGGGCCAGTTTGCCTCCAGCTGGCAGAGGCTGCCCCCATGAGAGACAGAATTGGAAGGTGTGAGGCGGCCCAGCAGCAGACAGAGCCTTGAGAGAAAACAATTTTCAAAGGGGAATGAACCATTAAGTCAAATGTCGATTGTGGTCAGAGGCTTTCCTGAGACCTTTTGGGGACAAGGAGAATGAGCTGACAGATTAAAGTCCAGGCTGAGTCCAGGTCTAAAGGCAGGAGAAGACAGTCCTGGCTCAGCAGGTGGTGGAGAGAGCCAGCCCTCCCTGTGCTCTACCCAACTGGGGTGGGGCCCACATCCAAGGTGGTGGCCACTCTACTCAGGGCACTGATCTCAGAGTCAATTTTGTCCAGAAACAACCTCCCAGCACACACGGGATCATGTTTGACCACATCTGGGTAGCCCACAGCGCAGTCAAGTGGACACATGAAATCACCCTTCACAGAAGGGAAGAGGGCAAAGGAGGTGACAGCTAAGTTGGCAGACCACCGGTGGAGAGCACGAGAGCACCTTGTACATGACAGAGACGGCCAGCCTTGATCTGACCAGATGTGCCGAGGACAGACATCTGCACCAGTGCGTGTGTCATGGATGTGCAAGCATAAGAAGCCAGAACCTCTACCGGTGTAAGCTGATGATGTGGATGTGGAGGGTGCCTCTCCTCTCACACCTTCCTCCATGCCAGGCCTGGGTTAGGGTCCCCCCACCCCAAGATACATTCAGGGAAGGTCATGAGCCCCCTACTTAGAGGCCTTAGAGCCCCCAGACCTTAGAGGTGAATGGTCATTATTCCTTACAGTAGGGGTCCTTTGGACAAGGATTTTTATCCTTATTGAGAAAGAAACAGGCTGCCCTTTACTGATGCTACTGGGTCTGCAGGTGATGCCTGCATCACAGCAGTTATTCTGTGACCACAGGCTGAGCCAGGCCAACCCGCTGTCCACTGTAGAAGGCTTTGGGCCTCCTCCTTTCAAACCTGGCAGGTGTTTCTGCCAACCCTACACCAGGCTCCTCTTGGTGGCTCTTTTGGCTGCCTGCAGTTGAACTTGCCCAAACTAACACATGATATGTGTCACTCAGTCAATAAGACTGCAATTGTAAAGTCAAGAGACAGGGCTTGGCATGGTGGCCTGTGCCTATAACCCCAGCACTTTGGGAGGCCAAGCAGGAGGATTGCTTGAGGCCAGAAGTTTGAAGCTGCAGGGAGCGAATGCACCACTATGTTCTGGCCTTGGTGACAGAGGAAGACTTTGTCACTAAAAAACAAACAAAAACTAACCATTACCAAAATTCCCTACCACAGGTGAAAAGGCTTTTCCAGTGCCCAGAAAAACCAGGAGTTCCCACAGTCCCAGCTCTCAGTTGCCACCATGTTCCTCTCTGCCTTCTTGTACTCCAGGTCCCCTGCCCCAGGTTCTAGGGTCACAGGAGCTCCAAACTGCTCAACCCACAGGCAGTAACCAAGAGGTCCAGACTCGGGCCCCCAGCCAAGCCTTCCCTCCCATCCCTCTTGGCCCTCTGCAGTAGACTAGCTGTACCCTTAAAGCCTGTGCCCCTTCCCCACACATGGGAACTCTGGCCCATCCTCAGGCTTCCCCTGCACTCCAGCTTCTCCCCCACAGCCCCACCTGCCTTACCCCCCCAGCCTAGACCCTGCCCACATGACGTCTAGAACAACCTCTGACCTTCCTTCTGCACAGACCTGGCTTCCCCAGCTCCCAGCCCACCAATGCTCTACTGGGGCCGGCCATGTCAGAGCTCCCAGACCCAGGTTGCCTGCCATCCCCAGGGGAAGCTGAGCCCTGGAGGAGCCCACTGTCCACCTCTCTACTGCCCAGGCCAGGGGCCTGCCCAAGGACATCCCATATACACCTGGTGCCACCAGGAGGCCTTGCTCACTAGGCTGTCTGGGTCCCCTACCCACAGGCCTGGCCCCGGGGCCATGTTGCCCAATGTCACCTCATGCTTCGCAAGTGGCCTGCCTCGCCCCCTTGCAGAGGAAGGCAGGCACAACCGCAGGGCCCTGACAACCTATCACTGGTGCAGGGGCAAGTCCCTAGTCTTTAGGCCAGGGTCCCATCTGGCTGTGGAAGCTGCCTCTCCTGCAGTGTCCACATCTGGATCCCCAGAACCAAGGACCTGGACCCTGGTGACAAAGGGGACTTTGCAGATATGATGAACCCCCAGTTTCCAGTGCCCCTTCTACCACAGGAACTCTGGTAATATGACTGGACTCCTTTTCCTGTTCTGCCTCCATCTCTGAGGGACACCTGGCAAGTTCTAGCCCTACAAGCGAGATGTGTGTGTAAATAGTGTCCTGACCTGATGGGAGAGCCCCAGGGCATGTGGGGAGACAAGGCTGAGTGGCCACGGTCAACCTGGAATGTTCCTGAACAGCATCACTGCTATTTCTTTCTTCAATGAAAAAAATTGAGCTCTTAGCACTTTCATAGCAGGGTGCTACCAGCACTCTGCACCAGCTAGTTCCATCATATCCTCTGCACCCCAAAAGGAAAGCAACACCCACTGAGCAACCATTCTTCACTCACCTCCCCGGCCCCTGGCAGCCCCAATCTGCTTTCTGTCTCTGTAAGTTTACTGACCATGAATATCTCATATAAATGGACTCATGTCACACATGGCCTTTTATGTCTGGCCTCCGTCACTGAGCAGTGTCTGCAAGGCCCACTCACCCTGTAGTGCGTGTCAGAACCTCGTTCCTTCTTGTGGCTAACATCCCATGATGTCTACTCGCTTCTCCACTCTCCTATGGACAGGCCTTGTGGCCCATGAGCAGAGTCACTTGTACAAGTGTTGGCCTAAGTGCCTACTGTGTGTGTGGGGGGCCACGGGGAGCTTCTGGCTTAGCTTCCGAGGAGCTGACAGACTGTTTCCCACAGTGGCTTGTCTTACCAAACATAAATTCTGCAGTCTCCATTATAATCCACCTCAGCTTGTGTTAACATGAAAGGTCATCCCCTCCCCTCAATAGGAGCTGCTCTGTGGAGCTGCTGGTTCTCCCCTGATGCCAGCCCAGGGCTTCCTGCTGGGTGGGGCCAGGCAGGGGGATAAGGGCAGGGGCAGGGTCCCCACCTTTGCCTATGCTCTGCTCAGGTTGTCACTTGTCCTCATTTTCCAAACAACCACAGACAGGAAGCAGCTCACCCCAGGCTTGTGTTAAGGGAGGAAGAGGCCCATCTGGCTGCTGGCTGGGTGAGGCCAGCTTCTGGGGTGGGCTCTCAAGCCCCCAGGACAATAGATGTCCAGGCCAAAAGTAGGAAGCATGGTCCCCTGCAGAGCTGTTGGGTGTGACAGCTTGTCTTGGAGGACACCTCTATACCACTCAGTGTTACCACATGTGATGTCCTCTCCCCTGGAAGCTGGGTGGCCCAGAACTTGCTGACCCAGAGGATGCAACTGAAATGACACTGTGTGACACCTAAGGCCAGGTCACAAGAGCTCAGCACCTCTGGCTGGGTCAGCATGCACCAGGGAGCTAGCTGCCATGGAAGACCCTGACTGCCCAAGACTTCGATAGTTCAAGGAAGCCCAAGTCACCTATGCAGGAGGCTAGCCAGCCACCCAACTGAGGTACTGGACATGGGGCAAGGAAGCCATTCTGGTCAGTCTAGCCCTGTTTAACCTTCAGATGATGCCACCCTCCACCACCTGAATACAGCTGCTGAGCTGCCTCACTGAGCTAGGCAAACCACAGACTGGGAGAGACAGTAACAAGTGGCTGCTAAGTCACGAAGTTTTGGGGCGCTTTGTTACACAGCTGTAGTTAACAGGGACATGGGTGCAAGTTCAGAGTGCAGGTGCGGGCCAGGGCTCAGCTCCCTCACCACACCACTTCTTACCTGCTCCTGGGGAGGCAGTGGTGGCTTGTGGAGGGCACGTCCTTAGCGTCCAGGCCCAAGGAAGAATCCAGCTGCCCGGGGCTCCCACCGCCAGGAGGGGGTGTGGGCCAGGTGGGACTTCCTGGGGAGGGAACAGCAGATGGCCTTTGAGTGGAGGAAGGACAGGCCCAGAGACAGAGTGCAACAACTCCTCCCACGTGGGACAGGTGGGCAGCAGCTCAGGCCGACCCCCAGTCAGCTTTTCCCCCAAAGACCTGGAGCGGAAGGCAGCCCTGGCTGGCTCTGGTCGCTCCCGCGCCCTACCCTGTCCAGGCTAGCCTCTAGGGCCCGCCCCCTTCAGACATTCTGTGAGAGGGGTCTGCACGCCCGCTCTCCCCGCCGGTCCATCCCCGGAGAGGGACGCCTCCCTAGGCTCTTCTCCACCCAGAGCTGCAGCCCTCGGCCATGGCGCAGAGTCTTCGCGCTTCCAAGCCCTCCGTCTCCCAACCAAGAAGCACCAAGTTCCCCCAAAGCACCGTGCCTCGCTGCCCGACTGGCTCCACCCACAGCCAGACTCGACCCTCCTCCCCACGCCGGTATCCTTCTACGTTCCTGCGCGGCTTCCCAGGAACACCAAGGTGGCCCACACCCGCCACCTGAGCGCTGCCCTCCGCAGGCGCCACCTGGGCGCCCCGCCCGCCTACAGGTTGCGCCTGCCCCGCCCCGCCCCGCCCTGCTCGCGCACTGGGCATGCCCATAGTTGCGGTCACGCGCCGCCCGCTAGTGTCCGGAACGAAGTCGGTCCTGGGCCCTGACCTGCTGCTCACGTCGCCATGGAGCTCATCGAGGGGGCGGCCGTGGGCCGCTGCGCCGCCTCACCCTACTTGCAGCCGCTCACGCTGCACTATCGTCAGGTGAGCCTCCGCGCCCCACCCGCAACCCCGGCCCCAGCGCGCCGCCTCTCGTGCCGCCTGCCCCACCCGCCCCGCCTCTCACTCTGCCTGCCCCGTCTTTGCCTACTGGCTCTACTGTTCTCGGACCAGGGGAGACCCTGGGCCGGGGAGGGACCCGGAGAGGGACATCTGGTGGAGGAGGGGCTCAGTAGTCCCTTCCGGGAACAGTTGCGCGGCTGTGATAGCTGGTCTAGCATGACGGCGCTATGCCTTGCGTTCCAGGGTTCCGCCTGTGAAGTCCCACCCTCCTGCCCGCCCCATCCATTGCTTGGCGTGGGATTCACCACACTGGTGGCCCCGGGGGTCAGGGAAGTCTTCCTGGAAGTGGTGGCTTCCCTGTTAGGATTGGAAGGAGGAGATAGCTGGGCCGCGGGGTAGGGAGCATGAGCGAAGAGGCCTCTGCTAGCCGGCTTCCACCCCGCGGTTAAGGGCCTTTCCTGGGAGCCTCCACCTGCCCCGTTCTGGTCTCCCAGGGTGTCTCCTCCTCCTCCACACCGGTCACCAGGACATCAGGGCCATGCTGCTTCTTAACATTGGACACATAGTAGGTTGTAAAGGAATATTGGACGGGTGGGCCCAGCTGTCTTCCTCCTGCCTGTCTAGTCCAGGCCCCAGCTCTGGCTTGCCACTCTGTCTGCCCCAGGTGTGCCCTGCGGGGCTCCTCTGGGTCTTGAGAGGAGCTTGTCTTCTTCACACTTGGTGCGCCCCACTCCAGCCTCTCAGCTGAGGGTGGTCTGAGTCTTGGTGCCAGCTTGCTCCTGAGACCCAGCACCTCCTGTCCCTTCCCATCACTTCCAGGCCGTGCCTCTTGCCAACCCTCTGAACCTTGTTGGCACCTGGCTTGAGAGAGGACCCGGCACCCCAGTCTCTCACTTCTGGTCGTCCCATTCACAAAGGAGGGCAGGGAATTCCTCTCCTCTGCTCTGGCCTATGGGAGTAGCTGGGGTCAGTTGAAGGACCGAGGGACCAAGGGTAGAACAGGGAGGCTAGTAGATATTGGATGCCCACTTGTGCCCACATGGCCTCCAAGGGGTTGGGGCTCTGGGGGCAGAAGGTGACACAGGGTGCTCCAGGCTATCACACTGTCTCCCTACTTCTGGGAAGCACTGTGGGGCAGCCCATGGCACATTTCTGCTGATGGGTGCTCGTAACCAGAGCTGAGCTGATGTGGGTGTCCAGCTGTGTGTGCTGGACACAGACTGGGGTAGCATTTCCTCAGGCATGAGGGATGCCACCAAGGGGCATCTGCAGTCCTTGGTTATCTACGGTGTCCAGCTAGAAAGCCTGATGGGCAGACAGGCTCTGAGAGGAAAGGGGTCATGTTTGCCCCTAGTCCTGTCCCACCCACTGGACCTCAGTGGGCCTCTGTAGGCCTCGCCCTGGCTGGGTTGATGTTTACTCAGAGGGTGGAGGTGGGAGCAGGCTCCATAGCCACTGCAAGGAGGTACGAGCTTCCCTGGAGCCTGCTGGGGAGGCCAATGTCAGGCAGGCCTGGGCTCACCTCTTGGTGGTGGTGTCTCAGTGGCCTCCCGGGCAGCCTGACCTGCACAGGACATGGGCTGCCCACCTTTAGAAACCAATGCCACTGTGCTTTCCTCCCAAGACACCTCCAGGCCAAGCCCAGACCATCTTCCTAGCTCCCCTCAGACCTGTCTCTGAGCCTCTACCTATGAGGTCCCTTGCCTGAAATGCCCTCCCCTTACTCTGTCACCTGCCCCAGAAAGTCCCCACGGAGGCTCTCTTAGCATACTCCCTCTTCTATAGCCCTGTCATTGGTGCTCAGGCCTCTGTCCATCTCACAGTTGGACAGAGACTCCAGGGTGGGGTGAGCAGCTGGCCAGGGCCTCAGGCTGCAGTTCCTGGCGAGCAGGACCAGTAACTGAGTGTCAGAGGGCCAAGCGTGCTGGACATTGGCAGCCATGGGGAAGGTCCCCAGGTCTGGCCCCCAGGAGAGGAGTGCCTGTGCTCAGTGGTTTCTAGCTCATGGGGTTCTGCATGCCCAGAAGCCTGGCAGTGCCCCAAAAGGCCCAGCCTCTCCACTCACTGTGTGTCTTCTGGGGCTGGAGCCTAGGTGTACAGTGCTCTGGGTGGGGAAAGAACATAGGAGCAGGCAGGGGAGGGGTGTCCCTGTCTGGGACCACAGAGTCACTGAGTTCTGAGCACAACCTCCCTTGGGGTTGGGAGTCGCCTCACCCCCACTGCTCCTGGTGCTGGCCACTTTTGCCATCCTGGCTAAGTTTGGTGGCCCAAGGGAACTTCAGCAGTGAAAACCTGACCTCTGCTCTGCCCTGTGTGGTCCCCACCCACTCTCCATGTGAGGTTGCCCTGGCCTGTCCCTCCCCGGTAGCCACCACCATCCTTCCAATACTTGGTGACAACATACTTCTCTTTGTAGTCTCTTGTACTCAACCTGTGCTGAGCAGTGCTTCATGCCCTTTGCCCTGGTTCTCTGCCTCACCCTCTGGAGCATCAGGCTGTCCTTGACCTCTCCCGGCCTCTGCTACAGCTCCTGGCGAACAGGCTCCTGGGTGGGAGCAGGTCTGTCTGGCCTCATTGGCTCCCCAGTACACCTCTGCCTTTGTTTGCAGCCTTTGGCTCTTCCTGACTGCTGCCCTGCCTCTTTCAGAATGGTGCCCAGAAGTCGTGGGACTTCATGAAGACACATGATAGGTGAGAGTCCGCCCTAGGTTGGCCACTGGGGAAGCCCAGTATTGATGCCCAGGCAAACACTGGGGCCAGGAGGCTACTGGTGGGGCCCTAACCCTCTCTGCCTTTCTGCTCCATTATGGTCTCCAAACATCCTCTCTCAGCCTGTGAGAGCTCTGCCTAAGAACTGGAGGCTGAGTCAGATCTTGGCTTAGGCCATCTGGACCATGGGGCAGGTGGGCCCTCTTAGGGCTGGGAAAGGCCTTCCTGGTACCCAGCCCCCCTGCATCTGGGGTATGGAATTGATGGTCAATGGGGCTTGAGTAATATGGCTAGTGGGAAGCTGGCCAGGGAGGTCCAAATGTCCTGTTGCTCACCTGGCCTCAGCTACTACCACCCTGACCTGCTCAGCTAATACATATCTTTCCCTGTCCCCCAGAGTCCTGGGTCCTAGCTTGGCTCTGAGTCCTTAGCAAGCTCTGGCCCTGCCTAAGCCTCAGTCTTCCCATCTGGGCAAGGGGCCTGACTCTCCTGGACTGTTGGGGGTGGTGGGGCAGGCACATGGAGGGATGGGGCTAGGGCCCCCAAAGAGACAAGATGGGGACTGCTTCTGTGCTGAGTTCCTTCCCCATACACAGTGTGGCCATTCTCCTGTTCAACTCTTCTCAGAGGAGCCTGGTTTTGGTGAAGCAGTTTCGGCCAGGTGAGGCCAGCCAGGCTGGAGAGGGGGAACCTCAGGGTCACCTCTGGCCCCCTGCGCTCTGAGGGTCTGAATGCAGACATGGGAAGGGGCTCCAAGGGAAATTAAGGTCCTATAAGAGGATCTGACCCAGAGTGGATCACAAGAAGGTTACCACCATGTGTCTGTAACATGGTCTGCCCTTCTCTCAACCAGCTGTGTATGCTGGTGAGGTGGAACGCCGCTTCCCAGGGTCCCTAGCAGCTGCGGACCAGGATGGGCCCCAGGAGCTGCAGCCAGCACTACCAGGCTCAGCAGGGGTGACATTTGAGCTTTGTGCCGGCCTCGTGGACCAGCCCGGGTGCTCGCTGGAGGAAGTGGCTTGCAAGGAAGCTTGGGAGGAGTGTGGCTACCACTTAGCCCCCTCTGATCTGCGCTGGGTAGCCACGTACCGGTGAGTGGGGCCAGGTGGTGGCCTATAGAATGTGGGTGGGACGGTGGGCTGGGATGGAATGTCCTGCTGTCTCATGGCCCAAGGAATGGGGCAGGCTGCCTGGGAGAGAATGAGTACCCTGTCCTGGGGATATGTAAGCAGGACATGGCACTGGGGGAAGGGTTATACAGAATGGGCCTCAGGTCCTTAGCCAGGCCGGAACCCAGGGCTCTGAGTCTCATTCTGGATGGAGCCAGCCTGTGCCCCGCCCTGTGGCCCCAACCGAGTGGGGCCAGCTCTGGGCCGCAGCTGCTGCTGACAGATGCCGCCACTTCCTGTGGGATTAAGCGCCGGGCACTGGGGGTGGGGTGAGTCACAGCGCTGTTCTCAGAGGGAGGCTCAGGAATGAGGGAAAAGCTGAGTCCTGGGCCACCCTGGACGAGTGGCTGCCATTCTCGAGGGTGAAGGGGGATGTGGTAAGGCCTGGATATATGCTTCTGGACTATTGTCCCCAAGGCTTGAGTGTCTCCACCCTACTCATGCCTACATGAAGTTTCTCAGCTGGGATCACCTTCCCAGGACAAACAATATGTTGGGATGGGGCCTATCCCATCTCAGGGACACTGTGATGAATCCCTGACCCCAGCTGAGCTCTGGGGGGTAGGGGGAGAGTCCCACAGTTCTCTCCCAAAGCTGAGTACCAGCCTCTAGCAGTCTTCTGCAGGAGCTAGGATCCCTCTCCAAGGAGAGAGGCAGGGGCATCTCTGCCACCTGTCAGCCCCACATATAGGCCACTTGCTGTTGAGCCTGGGCTCTCCTGCTCTGCCACCCAGGACACCAGGGCATGGAGTGGGCTCCATGTTAAAGGTGGATTTCCATGCCAAAGCAGTAACTGGGGTGTGAAGGGCATGCCTTGGTTTTCTGCAGGTGTCCACCCTGTGTCTAGGCGCTGTGCCCAGCCCCTGTGCCCTGCAATGCTAGGGGTGGAGAGGATCTGAGGGGCCTGACCTTGCCAGAAGTTCTGTCAGTAGGCAGGTTGTGGGGCAGGCAGGGAAGGAGGGCAAGCAGTCCTCCTGGGGGATGAGTCTGCGGGACAGTCCTGGCAGAGGGGCTGCATGGCAAAGGCTCAGGGATGAGTGGTCCACCAGCCCTGGCTGCAGTGATACTCAGGCAGGGTCTCTAGGCCATCATAGCCTGATTCCTGGGGTGCTAGGGAGTGAAGGAGAGTTCTAGGCAGCAAACACCCTGCTCAGACTTGCATTTGGAGAGGAGAGTATGGCTATGGGGAGGCAGGACTGGGGGGGGGGGTGAGTAGAGGTCAAAGTACCTGTCCCTGTAGGCCTGACAAGGGGCTGGACAGACAGCCTACCCACATATAGCAGGGCCCACGTATATCTTCTTGTCTATGGCCCCAGAGATGAGCTAGGCCACTCACCTGCCAGTCACGTGTGACAAAGCCAGGGTTCCCAACTAGAGTTGTGATTGAGTGAGATTCAGCAATGGGTGGCTTGGCTGGGCATATTCCTCTTGGCCTGGACCAAAGGCTGGGCTTGTCTCCTTTGTATGTGTAGGAAATGAGACTGGACACTCATTGACCTATCCCTTCCATCAAAGGCACAGCCGGAAACAGGCCATTAGGAAGGGGTCTTTGGGAGAGGAGGGTGGGAGGGTAAGGAAGCAGCTAGGGCAGGAATCAGTCTGGGTGGGTCCCCCCTCCTGGGGGGGGGCCTCACTCTGCTCCCCATGTGTCAGCACATCTCTGGGGGCAGCCCCCACCCCAGAGGCCTCTGGCTGGCCTTGTCCCATGCCACCAACGTCTCGGGTGAGCCAGGGCTCCCTCACCACTGGACATCTCCCCAGACACCCTTTGCTTCTCCTCTCCACATGCACACTAGGCCTGCCCCCTCCTAATCCGAAATCCAGCCTGCCACTCCTGACACCCTGTCCTAGTAGCCAGCCATCACCACTATGGCCCTCTGCTACCCTCGCCTGGGTATCTGTCTCTCCTGGTTTCCTGAAGCTCCTTCTGGCCACTGCCCACTGAGGGAGAAGACTTCCTTTTACCCTTCTTCATCCTGGATGCCTGGGCCTGGGACTTCCCTGCCATCCCACCCTAGGCCAGGCCACCTTGGCATATGCTGCTGTCAGCCCAGAACTTGTGTTCTGCAGGTGCCCATTGGGGAGTGCTCACAGCCCAGGCTGCACTAGGCCGACTAGGTCTGTCCCCTCCGCCCAGGCAGCATAGGCCCTGGGTACAGGCAGAAGTCTGGCTGGGTCCAGCAAGAGTGGGGACAGAAGCCTGCCCAAGGTTATCTGTGCTGAGGCATGGTCTGCCACAGATGTAATGGCTTCAAACAACATCCCTTTACAGTCTCATAGTTTATGGGCACTGGGGGTGTGCATGTGAGTGGGGTCCTCTGCCTGGGCCTTGCCAGGTTGCCAGCAAGATGTCAGCTAGGTCTGCCATCTCAGTCAGGGTGGGGGTCACCTTCCCAGCTCATATAGCCACAAGCAGTGGTTTCATCCAATGTTGGCCAGAGCCACTCCCACCTCCCTGAGGCTGCCTGCAGGCCCTCCCCTGTGGCCTTCCCAGCTTGGAGGGTTGCTCCATCTGCAGGCCCCACAGAATGGCCTGTCTGAGCTCCTCCTCTCCCTTTGGAGCTTGCCTAGCTGGGTCAGGCCCACCCAGGAGGCTCTCCCTTTCAGTTAAGTCAAATGACCAGAGTCTTTAATCACATCTGCAAAACTCTCCCTTGTCCAACATAACCTAATCCAGAAGGAATATGCCCCCATGTCCACAAGTACCCCTGCTCAAGGGGAACCTGGTATGTTACAGGGTGTCCCAGAGTCCTGCCCAACAGAGGGCTGGCAGCAGTGGAGTGGAGGCGGCTGGAGGGCTATGGAAGGGGCAGGGTAGCTCGCGGAGCTACCATGGGTGGCTCAACAGACCCTGTCTCAACCTGTAGGTCAGGAGTGGGACTGACTGGCTCCAGACAGACCATGTTCTATGCAGAGGTGACAGATGCCCAGCGTAGTGGCCCAGGTGGGGGCCTGGCAGAGGAGGGTGAACTCATCGAGGTTGTACACCTGCCCATGGATGGTGCCCAGGCCTTTGCGGATGACCCAGACATCCCCAAGACCCTTGGTGTTATCTTTGGTATCTCTTGGTTCCTCAGCCAGGTGGACCGCTGCTTGGGTTCCCACTCAACCCCCTCCCTACAGACCCAATAAAGGTGTGCATGGCTCCCATCTCTGCACTGGCTGTGACTGTGACTGTGACTGGGGACTGGAGAGGACCGGGATAGGGCAGGGGCAGCAGCTCTTCCCTGAGAGGAGCCTGGAGTGTGGGGGACAGTCAGCTCTGTGGGTACCTTAGCTCTCCTGCAGCAGGAGCCTCTGCCCACAGGGAACTAAGCAGGCTGGGGATGGTGGGGATCCAGGAGACTGCACCCAGGTTGGGCCTCCTGTTGTGGCAGAGAGGAGTGGGGCCCCGGCTCAGCCAGGCCAGGTGCTCAGGGAGGGCAGCACAACAGGCCTGGGGTGGGCCTTCTGGTCACTGGGTTCTGGAATGAGCTATGTCTCCAGGAGTGATGGCAGAAACCTCCCTTGTGAGTAAAGAGAAAGTGCAGATAGCTCTACAGACTGCATTGCAAAGCTTGCAGCCTGCCCTTGGGGCAAGAGGGGGTCTTCTCCAGGAGCCTGGACTAAAACTGTCTGGGCCCTGGGAGTCTGTGAGGAGCCCTTAGCAGCCTTGCCCCAAGAGGAGGTTGTGGCACATGGTGGAGACACAGGGCCAGTCTCGATAGGGGTATGTTACTGGTACCAGCTCCAGTTGTGCCCCAGGCATTATGCAGACTGCCTCAGCCTGCCTCAGGACTCCAGACTGGGGATCAGCTAGTCTCTGTGTGGTGAGACCATCAAGCCCGGGAGCACCCTGCCCTGCATGCCCCGACCTTGCCCTCTGGGCTGTCTTGACCCTTGGGCTGTGTAAGATGTATGCAGTTTAGTGCTGCCCTGCAGGCCCCCAGATCCCCTAAGGTGGCAGGGGCCATGCTGCCTCTGGCTTCTGCTGGGATGGTGAAGAGGTTCCTGGTGCTGGGCTGAGGTCTTCCTGCCCTTCTGTCCCTCTGACACTGTATCTAGGCTGAACCCAGATAGGTGCTTTGTGTGACAAAACACTAAGCCCCCTCCCCTCCTGCTGGGCATGTCCCTCTTGCCTTCCAAGGGCAAGTGTGGCCACCTTCCTGACCTTGATCCTCTCCTGGACAGCATTAGGTCCAGGCTGTGGCTCCTGGGAGGAAGGAAGAAAAGAGGAGCCTGAGAGGAAGGGGTCTTCTGTGCCCTGCAGGTGGCACCCTGGGCAGGGAAGCAGGGACTTCCTCTTGGTATTCACCCACTGGGTGGCCTGCCACTCAGGCTGCCTGAGAAGACTGTGCCCCAGAGGCCCAAGAAGGCAGCACCACCTGTATGCAAATGTTGGCTGTGGTCCAGGTGGGGCCTGTGAGCACCAAATCAGGCCAGCAATGGGGCTGCTGGGGAGAGGCCCTCAGGTGTGTGGGGTGTCCAAGGGCTGGGCTGTGGCAGGGTCCTGGCCAGCCCCAGCAGGACATTCACAGGACAGGCTTCATGAGACAGGGGTTCTAGTAACCCACTGGCACCCCACTTTGCCTCCCTGGCTTGCAGCCCACATGCCTGTCTCTAGTGTCCCTCGCCCCCAGGATGGCCTGCAGCTACTGCCTACTGCCTCAGAGGTACTGATGCGGGCTCAGGGGGCAGGGCTCTGTGTGGGTAGGAACAGGGACAGGGCACTTGCATTGGGTGCAGTCCAGCCCTTCACTCCATTCTGCAGCCCAACGAGCGGTCAGCAGGCTGCTGTGGGCCTAACGGAGCTGGCATTGATTTCCCGACATGGAGGGGGTGGCGTAGGGGGACTGTAACCGGAAACTCCCCTCCCTGTCTGCTATATTTAGCACCACAGGACAGGCGGAAGCATAGCTCACTCCTTGCCTAGTAGCTCTGTCCAAAACCCTGGTAGCCTAGTCCCTTGCCTGGTCTGCTGGAGTGTTCTCTGGTTAGGCTGAGTGGCCCCTGCAAATGCCTTCTGCAACACATGTTGAACACCAGCCCCTCAGAGTGTGCAAACTCCTGATGTTAGGGGGCTCAGAGAGGCAGCGGGGGGGCAGGTGGGGCTGGGAGGCTGAGGCCAGCTGAGGGGTGCTCTGACCCCTGGGCCCCAGGACAATGACCAAGAGCTCTTCCTGAAGAGGCAGCGCAGCCTGGCCTGGTGGGAGTGGAGACTGGACCCCAGCCCTGACTCCAACAAGGTCAGCACCAGAGGGGCAGATGAGTTCCTTGAAATTGTGGGTTGAATGGCTCCCACCCCGGCCTCTGGGGACTCACTTTCAGGGTCCAGCATCCCTGGCACTTCTGGCCCAAGGACTGCAGAAATGCTTACAGGGAGTGGACTCTACGTCTCCAGTGTCTCCAACACCCAGCTGCTTTCAGAGGGCAAGTGTGGCCACCATCCTGACCTGACATCATTAGGCCCAGGCTGTGCTGGGAGGAAGGAGGAAGGAGCCTTGAGAAGGAGGGGGCTTTTGTCTCTTGGGATGGTGCCCTAGGTATTGCCCCCAGATCTCACACCCAAAAGACCTGGAGGTAGGGAGATAGGGCCAGACCACCATCTCCCCAACCTTGTGGGGCTCAGGAAGGCAGCAAGCCCTAGCAGGCTGAACCTGAGTCTCTGGAGCACCCCTCCCTAGGCTGGGGGGCTCCAGGCTGAGAGGCTCTCAGCAGAAGAGCCTCAAGGAATAGGCCACACATAAGCCACCATCAGTCAGCTGCACTGCTGAACGCACCCCTGCAGCTGGCCAAGAGCAGGAAGCCAGGAGGTGGACAGGGATTGTTCCCTGGGTTCCGTCTCTTCTGATGGAATTCCCCCTCTTCAGCCCTTCCCTATGTTGCTCCAAGCCCTCTCCTCCCTTCCCACAGCCAGAGTCTTCATGAGGACAGTGTCACCGTGCAGTCCACCTGGCATGGTGGCTTTCATGACCTCCTGCAAGTCTTAGCAGCAAGACTCTAGTCTTAACCACCAGCCCCCAAGGGCCACTGCAACCTCTCACACGCCCTTACTGGGATCATGCCCCTTTGTTCCTGAGGCCCGGATAGGTGCTCTGCCTAGCTCTCACCTGGCTGACCTATGGCACCATTGGGATCTTAGCACAGCCCTCACCCCAAGCTTTGTCCTCATCTGCCTTGGCCTTACGGTCTGTTACTGGAGGCACTGGTGCACCCCAGGTAGTGGGGCAGTTGAGCACAGGCAGGGATGGAGCCTCAGCCTCCGGAGTGGGTCCTAAGATGATCCAGAGCACCCTCCCTGGGGACCCCCAGGCTAAAGCTAAAGAGAGGAGGCATCTCTACATGGAGTCCCTCTTTGCAGGCAGGCTCTGAACACTGCTCAATCCTCATACTTGTGTGTGTGTGGGTCTGCATGTGGCTGTGCCCAGCTTGTGTCTTAACCCCCCAGCCTATCTGTCTCCAGATCCTGTGGGGGCGCAGGCAGTGGTGGTCCTTCTGAGTGAGCAGGGTCACTGAGGTGGTTCTAGGGGACTTACCTCCAGGTGATCTTCAAGCCTTCATTCTGAGGGGAAAATGCAGGGGAATGGGTGAGGCAAGTGACCTCTGTAGGGGGCGTGCCCAGGGCATTGGTCCCCAGTTCAGGCTGCACTAGCACATTCTGGGGAAAGAGGGTAGTGCCTCTGTGTCTGCATAATTCTTGCCCCACCCTCAGCTCTTGAACATGGCTAGCACCTGTGCCTCCAAAGTTCTCTTCTTCCAGGAAGTCCTCCAGTGCCCCACCCAGCCCCACCCCCGCCCCACAGTGGCAATGACCTACTCCAGGCATTGGGTTGCACTACCACCACCCAGTCCAGGCCTGGACAGGATTTCCAGGGGAGTCAGGGGATGGAAGACAGCTAGTTAGGGTGGGGAGGATCCCTCTGGGTCATATGGAGGTCTCTTAACCACCAACATGACTACCAGCCCTACTCAGCTGAGAGGAGGGCTCCACAGAGGGGCAGTGAGGTCACCTAGGGAGAGAGCAATGAGGTGATTAGAGGGGTGGGGTTTGGGGGCCTGGTGACCATGGCAGCAGGAGGGTCCTCCCTGGGCAGCTCTCAGGACATGCACTAACAGCCTTTTCCCCCTGTTTCCCTTCCCTTGCTCTCCAAGCCCAGACCTGAGGCCTGGGCATTCCTCGAAAACACAGCCTGGCGACCTCCACGCCAGCGCCAAGCTTGGCATACAACGTGCACGGAGGAGCATTTGTTGAGTGAGTGCTCGACCAGCGCGCTTTGCTGAGGAGAGGGCAGGAGCGTGAGGGGCTCAGGCTCCAGCACTGGAGGGGAGCAGCGCCCCCTGCAGCCGGCATGGAGGCGACAAGAGCGGGGGAGAGTCCATGAGGAATGGGGGGCGTAGTAGGGGGCTGAGTTCCGCTCCAGTGCCAGCACTGCGTCCTCCCCGCATGGGGGCCGAGCTCTGATTTGTGCCGGAGGCCGCATCGCCTCTTGGACATAGAGGAGCGTCGCGGCAGCGCACTGATGGGAGGGGACCACAGCAGTGACCTCGGGGGCGCCCCACCGCCCTGGCTCCTGACACCCGGCGGGAACTCGGGTGGAGAAGTGGAGGCCGCTAAGCGGCACCGGCCCCCGCCTTACTGGTGTTGGGCGAAGGTGTTAACGGAGCCCTTCAGTCCTGTGCCCTAGCCGCCCTGCGAGGCACTGGCCAGGCCCGGACGCTCGCAGGCGGCGCCCTCCGCCGCCTTTAAAGCCGGGGGCACCCTTGGCAGCTCCCCCCGGCCCCACCCCGCGGCGCGGCCCCGCCCCCTCATGCATATGCAGGTGCGCGGGTGACGAATGGGCGAGCGAGCTGTCAGTCTCGTCCCGAACTTGTTGGCTGCGGTGCTGGGAACG